ATGACCTAAAGATAGCATCACAAATTTTGATTTTATCCGGGCCAAAAGATCGAATCTGAGAAATATCAGAGACTCAAGAGTGATTCTCATCTACAACATAGACACTGACCACAGACCAGTCATCGTGACTTTTGACACTCCAAGCAGGAAAAGGCCAGAAGCAAAGAAACGACGAGAAGTCGTAAACCACAGAAACATTAATTAATGACAGTATCAAAGATAAGATACATGAACGTTTGAAAGATGTATTTCACAAATTGCCCAAACCACGGGAAACTTTGAAGAGGAATGGAGCCACTTCAATACATGTGTGAACAGAGCATTAAAATAAGAGTGCAGCACAAGAAAAACAAGAGGGCAGAAAAAGAAAACGGCTGAATGGTGGAATGATCAAGTGAAAGAAACCTTCTAGCTGAAGAAAAGGGAATTCAAAAAGTGGCAGAAATCAAAGACAGGGGAAGATTACGTCCTATACAGAAAGGAACGTCGCAAAACATCAAGGGTAGTAAAAGAAGCTAAGAACAGATCCTGGACAGTGTATGGAGAACAGCTAGTAACAAAATGTAAAGAAGACCCTTGAGAGTTTTACAAGAGAGTTTTAAAAAAGCATGAGGATGCGGAAGGAACCATTCAACCCAACTGAAATAGTCAATGATAAGAACGTGAACCCTATTTTCAGAAAACCAAAAATTAAGGAAAGGTGGAAACGCCATTCCCAGGCGCTGCTGAATCCTACAGGAGATACAACACCCAGCAGCTTCTCACCGAAAGAAACCACACCAGAACCATCACTACTGCTGAGTGAAACCCAACATGGTATAAAGAAAAGCCCCACAAACAAAATGATAGGCGTTGAAAACATCACAGCAGAAGAGATCAAAATATGCGGCCATATCGGAGAAGTCTGGCTATGGAGGACATTTAACTTGGCCAAGGCGACAAAAACAACACAGAGCCTACAAAGGAATATCCCTTCTCAGCCGCGTGGATATAACGTTTGCCAAGATACTGGAAATAAGAATGAGACCAATTGTAGAGACTCATCTCAATGAACCCCAGTTTGGCTTCAGAATAGGCACGGACTGTACTGACGCTATTTTTGCATTAAGACAGTTGTGTGAGACTGCCATTGGACATGACAAGACCTCAATATCGTCTTCGTGGACCACGAAAAGGCGTTCGACAGGGTAAATAGATGTTAACTTTGGGAAGTCTTAGAGGAATATGGTGTAACAGGACAATTGCTGGAGAACATCATGGCACTTTATAAAAACAGCCAGTGTACCGTAAGATCAACAGAAGGACTATCGGACTGTTTCTCCATCAGGTCTGGGGTGAGACAAGGGTGTGTTCTCTCTCTGCTGCCCTTCATCACTTACATGGATAAGATCACGAAGGCAGCAAATGACAACACAAATGAGCTGAACGAGCTTCTATTTGCTGATGACCAGAGTACATTACAGATGAAGAAGAATCACAAAAACACACAAAAAAACTACTTTATGAGGAATGTAAACATCTTAACATGATCAAAAACAGATGTTAGGAAGGCTAGAAGAAACCCATGGAAACTCAATATCCTTATTGACGGAACACAACTCCAACAAGTGGAGAAATTTAAATATTTGGGAAGAATCTTCACACAAGATAGGCGTATGGACAAAGAAAAAGAAACAAGAACCACGAAGGCACATGCTGTGACCTACCAGGTAGCACCCCTTTTCAGCCTCAAGAACATCCCAACTGAAGTGAAATCCCAGCTCATCAATAGAATCTTCATACCAACCTTAACATATCAGTGCCAAAAATTGTCTCTAACAAGGCATGAGAAAGAAAAATCAATGCACGCGAAATTAGGTGTCTCCTAAGAAGCACCAACGCCACCAGAGCAGACTGCATAAGGAACGAGACCATACGTCTACCACTACCAGTAGTACATTTATTAGAGCGTCAAAGAGTCAAATGGTTCGGACATCTGACCTGAATACCAAAGAAACAACTAGCGGCTAGAGCTTACCACACCCACGAATCCGGCTTTAAATCAAGAGGAAGACCAAGAAAGACCTGACCTGATGAGGTTAAAAAAGTCCTGGAACAACGTAACTAATTGACATATTTTCACAGACGCCGAAACCTGCTCCTCCCCTCGACATCCTAAGGATACCAGAGGAAGGAAAAAGTAAAGTAAAGTAAAGTAAGAACTGAGCAGCAAAAGTGCTCACTTTGTTGCAACTGGCATCTTTCTTCAGGGTTCTTTCATCTGTGGAAAAGTGTTATGGGTTTTCGCTGCTAATACCGTGAGTCGTGGAAGGATGGCGGCGGTGGCGATTATAAGAGGAATAAGACGACAAGAAGGATATATCTAATATAATGTAGAGAGAATGTATGTGAAGTTGAAGAGCAGGTAATGTGGGATGGACAAGAAAAGAGAGGTACGGTTATGAAATAAGGAGGGGAGTGGGAATGGGAACACACGAAAGCGCGCGCGCGCACACACACACACACACACACACACACACACAGACAGACAGAGAGAGAGGGGGGGGGGGGAGGGGGGGGGGAGGGGGTGGCATGCAGCGGATCCCACATTCCAGTCCATAGCATTTTTCGCTTTAGTAGTTCAAGCGACAGAAAAGAAAGAAAATCTGGATCTGTACTAACAATAGACATAAGAAACTTTATCAAGCAAATAATTGCATCAGATATTTTAATAGGCACCTCAATTTAATTTTGACTGTGTTTACAACACGCGTCCAAACTCTTCATACTAGATCTAGGCCCTAGGCTACGCAATGAAAGGCTTTGGGGCAGGGGGAAAAGGAGAGAGGGGGGAGCTCAGTGGAAAGGAAATACCTGGTCTAAAAAGTCTCCTTTTCTCTATACTACCGAATGAACTAAGGCACACTGTAAGGTCAGTGATTATAAAACATTACCAAAATTGATTAACTCTTCAAAGTGAAGTTTAAAAATCACTCAGTGATGTATTTTCCTGTCTCGTAGGCCTACATTTCAAACAATGAACAGAGGGAGCCAAAAGCTCAAGGCGGAAAATGCGTGACGTCACGGCTTGGTGCGATGTCACGTTGGAAGTTGGAAGCGTTTAGCTAGGTTTTCGCGGATTTGGTTGATAAAAGGGTAAAACTTCACTAGCCAATGTAAGACTTCTACGATAACAATTTAAACGTTTTTTGGAAGAAAACCAACAAGGGTAGTTTGAAAAAAATAAGAAGAGAAAATTTATCAAAAATCAAAGGTTAAAAATTGTCTATTTTTCAACTTTAATTAAATATCTCGAGACTCATTAGTCGCACATCGACCTGGAAAAAAACGTTTTGAAGGCCATCCATCTTTAAAGACATGTACCGGAATCACAGAATTCTAAGTGTAGAATTCTGTGACCGGAATTGAATGTTGGTCCCCTAAATTAAACCAGAGTCTACATAGCAAGAGAGGCCACTCCTCTTTTTGAGCCAATTAAAAAAGTGTCCTCAAAATTCGGTGGCACCCTCTTTGCAAATGTGTGTGTGTGTGTGTGTGTGTGTGGTTCCGGCTGGATGACGCGAGTTGCTGAGAAAAAAATAATAACGAAGTCTAAAGAGAGATGAACATGCCTCATAACAAGCACTTAACAGCTTGTCTTGCAAGCAGCCCCAATGCAGTATCGTCGAAATTCATATCACACCAATGGAGCACTCATAGTGTTAGTGTGCTAGACAGGAAGCGCTTTAGTGAAGGAGAGAAAGAAAAGAGGGAGTGAAGAGGTACTAAATTCTCTCCATTTCCCTCTCACTCCACCCCTCTGCCTTTTTTCCCAACTCATCTCTCTCTCTCTCTCTCTCTCTGTGCGTGTATGTGTGTGCACGTGTGTGTGTGTGTGTGTGTGTGTGTGTGTGTGTGTCTCATCTCGAGTATATTGAATATGCATATATTCAAACACAAAAAAGAAAGAGGAGAGGTATGGATGATAGACGTTTAATAGGAAAGAAGGAGCGCATCTAACCAGAGTACCCGCCAACAACCCACTAAAGAGAGAATGAGATAGATAGAGAAACAGAAAGAGAGAGATAGATAGATAGAGAGAGAGAGAGAGAGAGAGAGAGAGAGATTGAGAGAGAGGGAGAGAGGAGAGAGAGAGAGAGAGAGAGAGAGAGAGAGAGAGAGAGAGAGAGAGAGAGAGAGAGAGAGAGAGAGAGAGAGAGAGAGAGAGAGGGAGATATTTGGTGTTATCTCGGTATATGTTACTGAACGATTTTTTACCTATTTCCATATATTACTGATCAAGTTCGGGAACCAAATATAGCTGATAGTAGACATGTTCACCAGTTTTTGAATGCTAAACTTAGGTGGTGGTAAATTTGGGCCAAAACACACACACACTCACACATATATCATGCAAGAGCCAACTGCATGGTAGGATCCCCAGTTGCGTGTCAACTTGCAAATTTCATGGCAAATTTCCTCGCACCATTCAGTTTTGCACCTAATCTTTGACCAATTTCCTCTCGAAAGTGCAATGAGACGCTGCTTTGCAATGACATCATGCCCTTTTCATCTTTGACAGGAATTTATTTTGAATTTTGCCGCAGTGGCAGCCGAAACCTACTTTAATTGATTTTAGGATCACCAAGGGATTTTTTACGTGAACAACTTGCACACGGGCTCTCCGAGACTTTTTATTCCCTTATCCAAGATAGCTAGGTGTTTGATCTTTAGGTAATGATCTTACGTTACCTAAGATCAGGGGTGTGGCTGAAAGACAGTAAGAAGGAGCCAAGAGGAGTAGCAGTAGAAAGAGTCAGAAGATTCATGAGGAGCCCAGAGGAGGGGCCAGACAACGGAGATAAAAGCAGACGAAAGAATACGACTAGAGAGCAAGAAAGGAGGTGAAAGGAGAGCATTTTAGAAAAGAACATTTTCTATTGCTATCAGGTTTTGAACAACATGCCAAACAAGCAAAACTTGTAACCTTAAAAAAAATTTAAAAATCCAACAAATATCCATTCATAGAAGTTACATAAAAACTTTTATTCCAATGCCAAAAAAAGCACAAGACATATCTCCAGCATCGGGGAAAAGAGAGACATGATCAGACTGGTGAGAACCGCTGGATACCAGACTTCAAGGTCATGCAGCCTCACTGGTCCATACAGATTTTTAAAAACCCTTTTAAAAACAATTCAAGCGTTCTCACTGAAAACAACATTACTTGGCAGATAAAATAATCCATGAAATAAGTATGAATCTGTCAATGGAAACGACCGTAACGGAAAAGTTATTTTTTCCGTCCTCCTCTCTCCTTCAGCTGTAGCTGAACCATGGCTCCGTGCAGAAAGTTGTAGAAGGCCAGACTGTTAGAATCTTTGATGAACATGCCCTGTGAGAGAGGGAGAGAGAGAGAAAAACAGAGAACATCAGAGAAAAAGCTTTTAGTAAGTAATAGTTTTACAGCACTTGCAACACAGTAAGGTCATAAAAGTGCAGAAGATTAGAGGTGTTAAGCCCCAGTTACATGCAGCGATAAATAGTATCAGATTCGTTGTATGAGAGAACTGCCCATTTTATCGAACTGTGTTGTCTGTTTACACGTTCCAATCTATCGTCCAGTTTTCTATTGATTGAAGAGATTCCGCGTCATAAAGCCACCATGTGTCTTTGCGACAACAGCGATTTGCCTGCTCTCTATGAGAAGGTTTCGAGCTCTGGACATAATGAATGAAAGGCGAACACTACCTCTAGATCACAGACCCCCCCCCCCCCCCCGTTACATGTAGATAGAGCAGAACAGTGTCTTTAGAAAAGGGTGGCCATACTGTAGGCCTACCGTGTTGTGTGTAGAACCGGAAGCTTTGACTTGACTGCAGATGTGCAACGCACCGAGTGACCTTGATGCACAGCTTCATAATTGACAATCAACTAAATAATAACATTTCTAAAATATAAATAGTAACGCACCAAATCAAGTTCATCGCGAGCAACTTTGCTTATTTTGAGACGCTGATTCTGAATATGAAATCAAATTTTACCTACGATAATTATTAAAAAAATTTTGAGCCCTGAGTTTAATTCTGCGAGGAGGCAAATTTCAAAGTGAATCTACGTCACAGCGCGTCTCCCTCAAGTGTGACCGTGATCGCACGAAAAATATCAAGCGGCACTTGATTTCTCGACAGTCTCCAAACCAACAATATTTAGGATAATATGTAATGTGAAATTAGGCACACATAGACCTGCATGTGAGCCTCAACCAGATTGTCTGAAAATTTTGCGCACCCCCCCCCCCCCCCCCAAAAGCCTTTGTGGGTGTCATAAGGAAGGACATCCGAGTAACGAGCGACCACCCCAACAAACACAATAAAGAAGAGACCTAACCCTAACCCTACCCCCAAAAAGAACCTGCAACGGGCCTCATGTAAAAAGGCCAAAACAAGTCCAAAACAAACAAGGAGCATCTAGATCTAGATCTATATGGCTTACATCTACATTGCTGTAGGGTTTGATACAATAACACAATAGAATTGGAATATAATGAATCCTCCATATAGATCTAATAATCTAAATAAATCTAGATCTAGATCTAGATCTAGTAGAACAAGTGAATGGGAATAGGCCTTGAACTAGAAATCCACATCCGATTCTGAACAGAGAGACTCAGCTGAGTCTATCTAGATTCTAGATCTAAATAAATTAATAATTCACGCACCCGATGAAATGCTTATTTTTACCAATATTAATATTACAGCATAACCTATGATAGGGTTTGACACAATAGAATTGGAACATGAATCCTCCATTGAGGTCTATAATGATCTATATAAATCTAGACCTAGATTCTATTAGAACAAGAGAGTCGGACTTGAATGAATCCACACGATCTGAACAATTGAGTTAGTCAACAAACGAAATTCAAATTGGCCGCTTGAGCACGAAACTGAAAGTAGATAATTTAGGTTGTCGTCCTTTTTCGTATTCGCATTTCTACTTAGGTTCCGACAATTATGTCGGAAACGCCGACGTCGGCAGTTGGCGGTGCGCGTGTCGGCGGTTGGCAAAAAAACGAAAGTGCCGACAAAGCCGACGGGAGAAAAATGGGTCGCTGGCAGTCGGCCAGGCCTCGCACTACGCACATTGACTGATACAGGCGGGCCTAGCAATAGCATCGGCCGGTTCGCGGGTCGGGTCGCGATTGCCGGATTTCAGACGATTGTCGGCAAACATGCAGGTCTAGGCACAGAAGTCCTTCCAAGAACCAAGAAAGGAAGCAACAGGAAACTACATTTAAAAAATAGTCTTCTTAAAAATTTTTCATGAAAGTGTCAAAGTGCAATGCTCAGCCCAATTCATGAGTCATCAGAAAAGGAAAAAAGTCACACTACTAAATAAGTGAAAGTTTTACACCACACCAGAGCAAGTACCAAACACACATTGTAGAGATTTAGAGCCTTTTTCAACACTGAAACTGTGAGGTTAATTTTTTTCTTAAGTCAGGCGCTATGAAGAGGGATAGCTCTATTTCAAGTGTTAAAGCGATTTGTCTGGGACTAAATTTTTCAATGAGGAACAAGGTTGTAACATCAATTGCACTTCATACATAGCTCATCATTGACACAGCACAAATTTCATAGAAAACACACAATGCATGAGAAAATAAGAACATATCAAACAAAACAACCCCACCCCTCCAAAAAAATAAAAATAAAAAATAAATATAATAGAAACAGTGTGTCCTGTTCTCTTTTTAAACAAAACAAAAATCTGGCACACGCCCAATACAGGAATTGTAAAGAAAGGTTTCACAAAAGGACACGGTACCTCAAACTGCAGCTTCTGTTTGCCAGCAGGCAGTCCCAGAGCCTCGTTTAGTTTGGCCTTCAGCACCGACACCTGGAGCAGACACGAAGAAAGCGGTTTTAAATTCAAGGAGAAAATATGAGACCAAACAAGGGAAGACAGCAAAGTATGTCATCCTGTATTGTCATTGTCAAATTATAACTGTGAATCAGGAAAATTAGGTCACATACTTTTTTCTTGTTTAAAACTGTTATTCACAAACGTCAATTACAATTGATGATACCATAATAAACTTTTAAAAAAAAAAGGCACCCTTTCCCTCCCCCTCTCCGAGTGTTTGACTTTGACCTAATTTCAGGGCTCCCAGTGAACAATTTCCCCAACCCCTGAACTTTGTCGGAGGATCGCGATAGACGCAACAAAGACGAAAACGAGCACTGACTGAAAGGATCCATGTAAACAAACAAAACAAGGTATACAGACAATGGCAAAAAAACAAAAACACAATAATGCACTTTAAAGGGGAGACCTGTAGATCTTGCACAAGTTCCTGTTTCACTGTCTTAGCAAGGCCAAATTTAATTTTGTATGCAGCA